GACCTGCTATGATGTTTACATGTGAAAGCATAGTTCAGTCAGGTGTATCCAGACGTACAGGTAACTAGATCATCAGCATCAGTCTGTCTCTGAGTCAGCAGTGTTTAAAGACGGAGGCTGTTCACATCAACATCAGATTAATTATTTATACACATCACATCATATTTCTATATTGTGAGGAAATTACAGAATTTCTTCATTTAATTCTGAGCAAACTCTGAATGTTGAGACTCTGAAAGCAGTTTCAAATGTTGTTGTTTTCCGTGTGAAACCTTGCAGAGCCACACACTGTTGGCAAAGATGGACCTTCCATGTTATCGCTTTCTCTCTTTTATCAGGATAGACAAGTATCCCAGCATGCATTTCACATCACCCTGCAGCGGTGGAGCACATTGTAAGCCAAAGCAGTTTTCATTGTCATACAGCTTTTTCGTGTCACAATAACTTGCAATATTGACTATAGCTAGCATGTCACTGGTTTTATAATGAGACTATTAAAGCCATGTAAATGTTTTCTGAAATGTGAGGCACTACTGACTGTGTGAGAGCTTTCAGTCAGTAGCCATGGCCATCATAAAAATATAAGGTTTCAGATTTGTTTTCTCTGTTTGACAGCTGAGTTTTTATCCAAGTATTGTTTTTAATTCATCTCTCGGTTCTCTCGGTGTCTCTCTATCGATCCCCTCCCCCACCTCTCTGTCTCTCAGCATCCTTCTAAAAATGGAACAGGGAGTCAGCCGGTGGTAACCTAGCAACAGCAGCATCTCTCAGAGGAGCATGATGTAATTCTATCATGGGTGAGGAAGAAAAGACAAATTGTGGCGGGGAGGTTTGGTTTTAAAAGTCCCTTTAATGAGGCATTGCAGGGTGACAGAGATCAGCTCTCCAGTGGAGCACTGCTGTTTCTATGGGCAGTTTGTTCTTTGACTATAGTGACCAAAGAACTCAGTCACCGCAACTCGTTAGGGTTTAAATCCTTTATGCAGATTCAATAGGCTGTTTTGCACCCTGCTGCCTGAAACCTGTCCAGGTGAGGGGTTGTACAGAGTACAGCCACTCCCCCACAGTGGGGGTGATGGACAGCATCTGGATCTGCTCTCAGATGTACCTCGCTTTGGATAAATGCGTCTGATACATGAAATTGTAGAATTGTAGGACAGAGGGCGGAACCTGTCCTCAGTCTCTTCATCCCATTGGTCAGAAAAAGTCTGCTTTTCTGCGAACGCTCAGAGGTTGTGGCAGCACAAACGTCTTCCACAGTTCTGTTCATTAGCCTGGAGGATGTGCTGTTAGCAGTCTGTCTAAAGGCGTCCATGGATGTTGCTGGTGTCCTCGTCAGAAGTCCAGTTTGGTGCAGCCTTCCTGAGACTGGCTCACAGGTTGGCAGAATGCAGGTTTTGAGTTTGAATGGAGCTACTGAACTACAAGGGCACTTCAAACACCCACACGTTCAGAGTGTCATCAGTGACCCAAGTGGTCTGGAGACCCTGTTAGGCCTGCAGGACTCCAGCTGTAGAAAGCTGTCAATCCGCCAACGTCCACTTGGTCATATTTCAACCCCATCTTCCTTCATTGAAGTTAACCAGGTGACCTCGGCCCTGCAGGATCTTTCCATGTCCTGTCACATTCTTGTAATTCAACACGTCAGGTACATCATAGATTAGAAAATGTTGTCCATAATTATTATGCCAGGTACACAGCATGTTTGGTCCATATTTACAAGTATTTACAGAGAGTTTTTGAGTCTGTTGGATAAAACTCTGGAAAACAATTTATTGTCAGGAAATAGAAGGGCCAACGATGTCCAACTTGTCACTAAGGTTAGGTCCGCCTTACTGGCTGGAAGCAGGAAGAGGTCCTGTTTGAGACACTTCAATAGCACTGTATGTAGGTCAGAACCAGTGATGTTCTAGAATCGGTTTTAAAAGTCAGTGGAGAGACCATCCATTTGTGATTTAATTTGGTTGACAGCGACTGTCATCTCCACTGCATGGCTCCTTGTCTTGGGTTGGTGGTTAGTCAGCCTCCTGGAAGCTTCGGGCAGGTCGTCTGCTTCCTCGGACAGAAGGTGCCGTTTTGCAAAAGCTTTTGTTGGTAAAAGGGTTACGATTGAGAGTTAAGAATATCAGGGTTATGCAGTCAGCAGGACTTGTGATACTTTCACCGTGTCATCGATGACTCTCACTCATGCATACTGTCTAGTTTGTGGGTGTTTGATTCTCCTTGTGTGTTACAGATCCAGGTGTGTGGTGATGCTGTTCAGTGGGTGGGGCTCCTCACCTGTTTGGTAAAATCTACTCAACAGTTAAATTCTCCACCAATGATGAGGAGGTTCTGATGATAATTGTTCAGGTAATTTTTTAACTTGGTGAAAAAGCCAACTCTTTCCACTCCCTGCTCCATACATGTTTAGAAGCAGAACCAGCAGCTAACCTTAAACCACCCAGTAGCAGATAAAAAGGTGGCATCTGCAGTTGCTCTGAAGACAACAGGTGCCCCTGAACTAAGGCTGATTTCATGGCTAAAGGAATAGGAACCGTCCCATGATAACCCCCAATCTACCTCATCTGCTGAGTGTGAAGGTCTCTCTTGCAAAAACACAACATTCATTTATTTATGAGAAACTATTTCAGAAATTAAAGCAGTTTTCAGTCATTCTCTCCCACTGATAAATTTGAAAGACCCTGTTTTGATGTGGGCTGCAGATGTCTCGATGGTTAGCACCGTTAGCACCGTTAGCGCCTCACAGCTAGAAGGTCGCTGGTTGGCGTCCCGGTGAGGACACCCGGGATCTTCCTGCGTGGAGTCTCCATGTTCTCCCCGTGCAGCGTGGGTTCTCTCCGGGTTCTCCGGCTTCCTCCCACAGTCCAGAAACATGCTGAGGTTAATTGGTGATTGTAAATTGTCCGTAGGTGTGAATGTGAGTGTGCTTGGTTGTCTGTCTCTAAGTGTAGCCCTGTGATAGACTGGTTACCTGTCCAGGTGAACCTGCCTTCACCCTGAGTCAGCTGGGATAGGCTCCGCCCCCCATGACCCTAGTGAGGATGAAGGTGTAGAGATGATGGATGGATGGATGGTTTGAAGCTTTTGTTGGCCAGAGAAGAGAGACAGACGATAAGCAAACAGCAGTAAAGAAAGAGGTGCACCATGTGATGCATGATGTCGTCCCTTCAACCATCTTTCTCACTGTTCTGCTTTTAGTGGCTTTTCTGAGAGTTACATGCTTTTGAGGCAAAATGTTTTTTGTCTCGTCTGGGAGGTCTAAACCAAAAAAACAGATTGGATAAATATGTTGGTGTCACTTAAGTAATCACTCACCTTCTCAGACTTTTTGTGTTTTATGCAGGAACTCGTGTATTCCCTCTAAAGAACAGAGAACTGCATCTGTGCAGCTGATGTTGCTAACAGATGCAGCGTCTGACTCGGTCATGCCCTCCCCCTCACCTCATCCTGACTGTTAGAAACAAGCTCCATGTTCTGTCCTTTACTCGTGTGTTAACAGTTTCATCTTCATCTGTATAACTAGTCAAAGCTGTGTCCTTAATGTCACGTTGCTCTGGTTCTCTGCAGCCACAGAAGCCTTGTATAAGAAGCCCTCCATAGAGACGCGTGTGTTTCAGTTTGGGATCCTTACATCAAACACTGACTGTTTCAGGTTGGCTTATAAGCTCATTCTCTAACAGCTTGTTAGAATGAACGGAAGACAACTGAACACATCATGAACAGACATGTGGAGGATGCGCCGCGTCACTTTGTGTGTTCCCATCATTTTAACTTCTGTTTACCTTCATAATTTGAACTTTACTTCATCCTTTTAACTCTGGTTTAGATTCATCATTTTAACAGATGTTTATCTCCATCAGTCTAATGCCCGTGTACTGCCATCACTTTAACTCCTGTTTACTGCATGTTCTCAACACTTCAGTTGAAGTCTTCAGCTCAACATGCTGGAAACGCAGCTCACAGTTACTTGTTACTCAGCATCTCTCACCTTAACAGCCAAGCATGTAGAAACTCAAGCAGAGCTGGTTAAGGTGTCACGTTAAACGTCCAGTGTGGACTCTGCCCTGACACGTATCATGATACAGCAGTGGTTGGACTGGACACCTTAATCCCCCAACAGGCCTCGTCTCTATGGAAACCATCGACGCTTTAAACAGTATCTTGCCTTCAACAGAGTTTTCCTTTAATTAATCCAAACTGACCCAACATCGAAGCCTAACTAAGCCTAACCCCAGCACTGCATGACACAAAGCACAGGAGGAAACAAGGACAAGAAACAAGGAGAGGAAACAAGGACAGGAAGCAAGGAGAGGAAACAAGGACAGGAAGCAAGGAGAGGAAACAAGGACAGGAAGCAAGGAGAAGAGAATGGACCTTTGTTTTCTGTAACATGATGCTTCTATGATTTTTTTTACTCTGTTTGTGACAAAAACCTTCTGCAGTTAAAATTTAAATGTTGCTTCAAGTCTAGAAGTGACAGTAAAAAAAAAAGTCGGAATCCAAAATTTACAGTCTCAACATCATCAGAAAAAGGTCAGCTCGTTGTTTTTGTGACTGAAACTCGATTCAGCCTGTCAGTGAAAGTTAAAAACGACCAGTCTCTCTGTGCTGGGTTTCTGGCTTATCAATAGCACTGATCAGCTGGATCAGAAGGCCAGTGTTTGACACAGAGCCACTCCCTGTTTGAACTTGTCTTCTGAAGGACTTGAAAACATTTAAGGTGTTGCCTTTGTTTATTCAAACACCCTGTTAAAGTAAGAGCTGGTTGGAAGAACATAACTTCTCCCTGACTGCTTAACTTTGTTCTCAGCTCTGATGCCAGACAGCAGCCATGTTGAGGTGATCCCACAGTTTGAAACACAAACGAGATGTGAAGCATCCGGATGTGATTTCAACACACTTTATTGTCGCTGTTAGCAAGCACAGCAGCAGCATGACGACAAACAGACAGAATGAAATGCTATGAAGCTGGATGAGAGCGCTAAGCAGAGGCTTACCTGAGGATCAGCGAGGACTCAAACTCCCTCCATGTCTCCTTCAGTGTCTCCTTCGGTGTTTCCTTTCCTCCCTACTTCAGTTCTTCCTTTGCAGAGACAAAGATGAAGCGATGAATCGTCTGGTCGTCCTCACAGATCTCTGCAGCTCTGTGGAAACGACGACTCTGAGATGTTCGTCTCGGGCGACGTTAATCCACATCCACCCTTCACTGCCTCCTTCCTCACTTCCTCACTGTCGTTCTTTCTTCCTTTCCTCCTTGCCTTCGTCCTCACGTCATAAATCCTTACCGCTGGAATAACCACAGCTCACACACTCACACAGTCTCACACTCATCCACCCTTCAGCCGCACACACACACATCCCCGACGACGGTCACCACAAGAAACAGGAGGCTGAAACCACGGCAACCTGACAGCATCCTCAGCCTGAAACTCCTCCCCCTGCTGCTGACGGGAGGAGAGAGAGCGACCCTCCTGCTTAGTGCAGCACATATGAACGCATCAGAGCAACATCCTCCACAAAACGCACATCCAAGATGTGGATTCATTTTCTGACCAAACGAAAACGCCTCATATACTTGAATAAACTAATGTCAGTCACATATGTCAGAGAATGTCCCAGCCTGAGAGGCAACCAGCACAGCAGCATATGACACTGCAGTCAGTCTGCTCATGCTCAGATTTTTATTTTTCTACCATTTCATGCTCGACACTTTCTGTTCTTTAACTTCTATGAAGCTAAAAGTACAGCATGCTATAGTGGTTAGCTTCATTAACCCTAAACACATTCAGATGACTTCATACACACAGCTGCTGCTTCCTCGACGACTTCTTATATTTTACAGAATGATCATACATGATTTGTTCTATGATATGTTCTGTGTAATTATTGAATTGTCAACATGAGTTTCATGTCAGTAAACTGAACAGAGACGGAGGGTGATCAGAAAGATCAGCAGCATCATGTTCTTGTCTGTGTTTATACGTCAAACATCATCTGATGATGTCACTTGGTATTTTACCACAGCGACATCTTTGACAGAGTTACTGAGTGAAGTGTGGCAGAAAAAACAAACCGTTTCCTAAAAATTGTGTCTGAAGTATCTGCTGTCTCAGCCCCATTCAGTCCAGCAGGACCTCGTAGAACCCTTCAGAACCTCCCAGAACCCCACTGAACTCTACTGAACCCTGCAGAACCCTGCAATTTTTGTGTTTTTATCTCCTTGTTTCCTCTCCCCTTGTTTCCTTTCCTTGGTTCCTTTCCTTGGTTCCTCTTCCTCACGTTCCTCTTCTCGCCATGTGTGTGACATCAGTATGACATCGTCCTGCTTTTGTCCAATGGGTTGCCATTACTGTAGTCATGTGACAGGCTGTCAGCTCTGGGCTGATTATATAATTTCAGATTCTGTTTGATGTGAAATAATTTCCGAGCAGCTGTTAGTTTTAGTTCTGAAAGATTCACCTTGACTCTAACATTCAACAGAAAACTGTGAAGCTCTGATACAGATGTACCCCTGATACCCCTGATACCCCTGATCATGCTATGGCGTGATGTTAAATGAATCCTTCTCACAGGTGAAACATCCTAAAAACGACACCGTACCGTCCAGAATGCTCTCCGTGTTTCATGCAGCTCTGCGCTCCATCAGCCCCTCACCCCGGGGCTCCGTGCTGCGCATGCGTCTGGTTCTGCAGCACTCCGTGTATGTGGGCATGTGTGTGCGTGTGTGCCCGCGCGCATGTGTGAGAGAGAGCATGTGTGCGTGTGTGTGTGTGTGTACGCGCACGCGCAAGCAGAGAGCGCGCTCCGCTGACAAACGGATCGGTTTAACTCAGCTGTTGGCGCTCAGCGTTGATTAGCCCGGTTCGACCACATACATCAGCATGTCGTCCAGCCCGCAGACCCAGGAGCCGAACCCGGAGCCGAACCAAGAGCCGAACCAAGAGCCGAACCAGGAGCCGAACCAGGAGCCGAACCAGGAGCCGAACCCGGAGCAGACAGAGGAGAAGGATGCGGCGAAGGAGGAGGTGAAGGAGGAGGTGAAGGAGGATAAGACCGAGGAGAAAACGGAGGAGAAAACGGAGGAGAAAACGGAGAAGAAGGAGGGGAAGAAAGAAGAGAAAAAGGAGGAGAAGAAAGAGTCCTGTAGAGATTTCATCTACAACCCGAGGACCGGAGAGTTCCTGGGCCGAACCGCCAGCAGCTGGGGTAAGACAGGCGGCCTGGAGCCGCATCAAGGGAGGTGTGATCCGGCTCGGCTCGGTCGGGTTCGGCTCCCCGCGCGCCGAGCAGTTGTCCGTTCACTTGCTGCTGGACAGCAAAACCGAACTGGGCCGAACTGGGCACTTATATACACTGATGTACTGCAGTATATGAGAGGTTACAGTGTGTATAAATACACAGTACCTGCAGTACCTTGGAGTACACGCTGATGTATTTATACACGCTGATGTACTCCAAGGTTCTGCAGTATATGAGCGGGTGGACAGGTACCGGTGTGTCCATGAGGGGACCGTGGGCAAGTCTAGTTTAAAGTCATTTTGCTCAGTAGGAAATGTGAAGTGACTGGACAGTGTTTGTTTCTTCTGCTGTGTTGAAATAAAGTATGTTTGAATGTTTCTTTCAGGTCTCATCCTCCTCTTCTACTTCGTCTTCTACGGCTTTCTGGCAGGAATGTTTTCGCTCACGATGTGGGTGATGTTACAGACACTCGATGAAAACGTCCCCCGTCATCAGGACCGGGTCTCTAGTCCAGGTGAGGTGACTTTTTATCTGCACTCTGTTTGTTGTCGGATCAGCCAACCATGACAAACAACGAAACCTTTTTTAAAAGTTCAGCACCTGAAACAACATCGAAGTTCCTTTGTTGTTGGGAGAAAGAAGATTCCATTCTGCCTCTTGCTATTTTGGCTTTAAAATCCGTTCTGCGGTCTCCTTGCATTGGGGCTTCAGTAGGAATCCACATCCGAGACATACGATGTAGCAGAAGTCAGCACAACTCTACACAATATCATTTAAAATAATTCAAAACCGTGTCACGTGTCAATATTTGTATTATTTTTAAATAGAACAGCAGAATATTTACTCTGATGAACAATTAGAACCAAATACTTGACAATGACTGAAGTAGAACCTCATAGAACCAAACAGAGTCCAGCTGTGGTCTCCATCAGTCCACCTGCATGAACATGGTTCTACAACGAGCTGAGAGCAGCAGAACCTTCTCAGTTCTGGACCTCTGGACTGTGTCTATCTATGTCTGCATCATGGCTCCACATGGAGAAGAGCTGAACAGAGGAGGAGAAACATCTGACTGAGAGACTGGACAAAGATGGAAAAGGATCCAGAAGACCAGTGAGCAGCTAGAACCCAGTGCAGCCCAGTGTGAGCAGGAACCAGGAGGTCCAGAAGGAGCCACAGCAGCACTGATCAGGGCTGCAGTGGTCGTCCTCCTACAATGACTCCACGGACAGTCAACTACTGTCACTATGGAGCTGTGGACACCAGACAAAGGCAGCTGCTTCAGACTTGGCACAGGGCTGATCAATGGAGACCAGAGTTAGTGTGAAGCTCACACAGTGTGAAGGACACTTCAGAACATCAGCCTCTATGGACGGAGGAGCAGAACTAAACCTGGCTGCTGCTCACAGCTAAACTTCCACATCAAAGTTCACCAGAGAACATGAACAGAAGCCTGATGGATGCTGGAGAACATCCTCTGGTCAGATGGAGATCAATGTGTTGGGCTCACATGGAGTCCAGATGTTTGGTGAGAACCTGACCAGGACTCTGGTTTCCTCCATGCTGAGGAGGACCGAGTCCGTCAGCAGAAATGAAGGTGGACATGCGAAAGACTGAAGGAACTAAAGAATATCAGGAATGAACGCTGGTCATGGCTGCCTCGGAGCTCCGCAATGCTTTTGTTGTCAAATTACTTCACTACAAATAGACTCTTTAAAAAACCGGACTCACGTGCAGTATTCACACCCATCCAATTTATAAGCAGCACTTTTACATCCATGTGCAATCTTGCAGTTAGTTTTATTTGACTGTGTAAATATAAAGCCACATTTTTGTGGTCCATCCATCCACTGTGTGTCAGGGCTGGGCTCATCCTCCCTCACTGATGCGCTGCTGCCACACAGCCTTCAGTGGTCGTGTGCAGCACTACAACAAAAAGCTTTTTCCTTCCAAACCACCATTGCCATATTATTTATAGCATGGTTGCCATGACAACCATGAAATCATATAATTTACTTCCCAGTTCCATTGTCCTCCTTTTGGTGTTTGATGATTGATTATAGATTTGTATTGTTGCAGGTTTAGTGGTTCGTCCTCATGCAGTGGAGATCTCCTACAACCGCACCGACCCAACAAACTACAATCAGTACATCCAGCAACTGCACGAACTCCTGCAGTGTGAGTACAACGTGTACACAGACACGTCACGGGATAGTTCAGCACAAGCTCAACATACAGGGTTCCTAGCTTGTAGAACAGCCAACTGTTCTGTCCTGCACAGTAAAGAGCAGAACTGTCTTCATGGTTTGACAGATATCAGCAAAATACCTGATGACAAACACATGAAGAATGGCATCGACTGTGTAGTGAGCATTTTCCAGACATGCCGTCCAGAATGAATGGTCTTGATTTACAGCACAGACACCTGTTTCAGTATGTGTTTGCAAAGCAACAGGTCCATTAGTTCTCCTCATCATACATGTTATGCACAGTTTACCTTCATGGTTATCCTGTCATGACGTGTTTTGTCCTGCTTTGTGTGTAACAAGGTGAATGAACATCATGACATCACACCTGAGAAGGAAAGGGAAAGGAGAGATACCCCCCAGAAGGAAACTACATGCAAATAAAAGAATAAAGAGTACAACAATAGGTCTAACAAAGTTCTAATCCATTCATCCATCCATCATCTCTACACCTTAATCCTCAGTAGGGGGGCTGGAGTCTATCCCAGCTGACTCAGGGTGAAGGCAGGTTCACCTGGACAGGTCGACAAAGTTATAATTATCGAGAAAATCTCCTGGTTTTAAATATTAACAGCTCTTTACAGACTTGGTGGACTTGACCTCACAAGATGCTTTATTCTCTTTAAAAGTACTTCAGCACACGTGTACAGTTTGGTAGGGAAACTCAAAAAATGCAGTAATTACGATCATTGTGTTTGATGGAATAGAACTGTGTCACCTTCACCCATAACGCTCCTGATTGTGTTTGGTTACAGATTATAATGACAGCATTCAGGAGCAGAACGACTTGTGTCTGGTTGGTGAATACACCGAGCAGGATGCTGAGCCCATAAAGAAAGTCTGTCAGTTTAAACGCAGTACGTTGCGTCAGTGCTCTGGTCTGCCCGACACCAGCTTCGGGTACGAGGAGGGGAAGCCGTGCATCATTATCAAGATGAACCGGGTCAGTAGAACACTTTTCACTGAATCTGTGTGTTTTAGCATCAATAATGGCTTCAGTTTAATGGAACAACAGAGAAACCTCAAATAATATGTTTGGCTTTGTTGTCCGAGCGTTGATGTTTTCACTGTATTGTACTGAACATGAAGACCGTATCAGGGAAACTCGTCCTGCTAACTCATCTGTTGCTATGGTTACCCTGCAGGATAGCATACCTGAGGCTCTTATTCAGAAAACACCGTCAACACTGTCATGATGTGTAAGTAATTCTAACCAGTCTTTCTGCAGGTCATTGGCCTGAAACCAGAAGGAGATCCCTACATCAACTGTACTGCCAAGGTAAGTCACCTCACAGCACGTAGAAGTTCGTGTGAGTCTTTGTTTTATCCTTTAATTCTAATAATCACTTGTATAAACTGTCTGGTTCTCTGGTAGAGAGACACTCCATTACAGATGCAATACTTCCCACCTGACGGGCGTCTGGATAAAATGTTTTTTCCGTACTATGGCAAGAAAGCTCATGTGAGTAAATCCTGTCTGCTTGGTTCATTATTATGATGTATGTAAATGTAAGTAGGCTGAATATGTTCAGCTGCACTGTCTGTAAACTTCAGATCATTTCTGTTTACATACGTAAATAAATAGAAAAGCTGAAACACAGTAAACACGCGTTCTGTTAGCGTGTTCCCAAGATGATGTTTAACCTCCTTTAAGTCCGTTTGTGACATGCAGGTACATAATGTGCACGTGATCTCACGGTACATGCGTGATGTTTTCCAAACCCTTGAGCTTGGACAGTAAATCCTCTGTAGTACATGACATCACTTCAAAGACTGTCTTGTCGATAACATCACACATCCTACATCATTGTGTACATCAGTCCGTGAATGAAGCTGCATGCAGTTCAGACGCCTGCTATGGTGGAAGTGGTGCAGAAATGTTAGCAACTCGTAACACGCAAACTTTTACGAAAGGTGACTCATCCAGACATGAGATTAAAGGTGTGTAGGTGTTGGTCTCTCTCTGTCCACTCTGGTTCTATTCTGTTGAACCTAAAATTAACTCTAAGTATCAAAATGTCATTTGTCGGGCGCCCCGGTAGCTCAACCAGAGAAGATGGCGACCCATGAACAGGGCTGTAGTTCGACTCCCGCCAACGGCCCTTTGCTGGAGGTCTCTCCCCGTTCTTCTCCCCGTTTCCTGTCTCTCTTCACTGCGCTACTGAATACAAGCAAAGGCCACAAAAGAAAACAATCTTTCAAACGTCATATGTCCAAAGTAGACAGCGATATCACAAGTAACACCACACTGAGACTGATATGTGTTAGTTCTGGATGTACATCATGTCCATGTGTGTGAATGCGCGTCCTTAAGATTGTGTCCTTTTGATTGGTATGTGGCAGGTAGATGCCCTCCCTTCGTTTAACTGGACCTCTCTCTGCTTACAGCCAGACTACGTGCAGCCTCTGGTCGCAGTGAAGTTGTTGTTAAGAAAAGAAGACTACAACATCGAGCAGACGGTGGAGTGTAAAGTTGAGGGTTCAAACCTGCGTAACAGTGATGATCGGGACAAGTATCTGGGTCGTGTCACTTTCCGGGTCAGAGTGTCAGAGTAATCTGATGGACTGGTTACCATGGACACCACAAACTGGGTTTACTCTGGAAATAGAACTCCAGTTTAGGACACTTTTTAAAGCAGACTTGATCTGATTCCGCTTGTCTGAATCTTGTTCTTCCTGTTTAGATTCTGATGAGGTAAAAAATCTGGATCACTGATACATAATATGGTCACACTGCCGGAATCCTTCAGACCTCATCCTGGTTCGCACCTCATTCGCCCTCACTGGGGCACAGCAGTTGTACCTGGTCCAGGTTTGAGCCCTTGTAGAAACTAAACAGCAACTGTACAGGAGGCCGTTCAGACAGTCAGAGCAGATCAGGTCTGTGGTGGAAGCATGTGAGCCGGCGGCACAATGTGTTGTTTTTAAACTTCCGTATGTTAGTGATGTAATAAAACACTTGTATGATTCCAGCCGTGTGAAACAGCAGCACAACAATACCAACTGAGTCACACTGAGACACGAAGCTAAAGTTTACATTTGATGATTATTGTTCAGTTTACATCCAGGTGCTCAGTAATCAGATTACTCTGCCTCTACCCAGCAATATTAATGCACAAGAACTGCCTTCAGTACAATCATATTCAGCAGCAAAGGACTGAATTTATGAAAACGTAAACATTTCAAGAGTGTATTTACCAGGATTCAAACACCCACAAATATGTGGAAATCAAATGAGAACAGACCACAGTTCAGTGTAGGAGTAGGATGGCATTACAGCAGTTTTATTACTGACCATATATATAAATCTCTCAGTTTTATTGTGTTATTGATTGTTGTGATTTACGGAAATAACAGCCAAAAGAAAAATGTAATGTGTCAGCAAACAATGCTAGCTGCTGTTTCCTGTCTTTTATCCCCGTCAGGTTGTGACTTTATAAAATATTATTATGAATGATAATAACAGTAAATATGACACTGCCCTCACCCCGCATTTGTCAAAAAAAGGAAAGAAGTAAAGTTCATCTTGTCACTGTTTTATAAACCATCTTCATGTCAGTAAAAAAAAAAAAAATCGGTAAGATTTATTAGATATACTTTATAAATATAATGAGTTCTTCTGTGCATTTACAACCACTTGTTGTACAGTTTTCTAAATGTGAATTTGCGTGTGACTGTAGTGAATAGTGTTGTGTGACTATTGAACCAGATGACATCAGCAGAGCTCCAATCAGTGAATCTCCTTATTCATGACATGTAAATGTGCTGTGATATCTTTGTTCCAACCCTGAATGAAAGACACTCCTAAACAAGCTAAGCTATCGTTCTTCATTATGTTTGTATCAGTCTGCCTGAGGGCCACAAGAGGAACCACATCGAAGCATCTACTCTGTTGCTAATAAAACATCTTGCTCCAATAATGAGTAATGATTATACATAATCTGTTTCCATCACACCATGTAGCTCCTTTAGTGGAGAACTAAGGCTGGCTCCAAATACACAGTAATTCCCATATCCAGTATCAACAATCTAGATATAAATTCACAACAGTGTCAATTACTTGGATGTAAACTAAGTACGGAAGTGAGTCAGACGTGTTAAGGTTAATGGAAAAAGGCTTCGGGGACTTGCCTCTTGTGTCCATGAGACATGATGGTAATTGATGCAACGCTTTGTTTTGTAATTAGGCAACAGCTCCATCCATCCATCCATTATCTATACACCGCTTAATCCTCATTAGGGTCGCGGGGGGGCTGGAGCCTATCCCAGCTGACTTAGGGCGAAGGCAGG